CCGCTCCCGGGGCCGCTCACGCCGCTCCCTTCTCGCCCTCCTGCCCCTTCTCCCGTGGGCCCAGCGCCGCGTCTGGCACTTGTGCAGATCCAGGCTGCTCTGGGAAGGCAGAGTGAAGTATTCCGCTTTTGCAAAAAGGCATGAAGAGGGGATTTGAGACCTGCTCGTTGTCCCGGAATTATAGGAGAGCTGTGCTTATGAAGGAAGGTGTAAAAACCAGGGGCGTTTTCACATTACCTTATCTCTCTGTGATCTCTCAGATGTGTTTTGCCAAATCATGAGGCACCCTGAAGGTTTCTCAAACTAGGGAAAGTATTAATAAAGCCAGTGCAGGTTCAGTGATTTCACAGCCTGCTCCTGTTCTAGAGGAAGAGTTGAAATATTTGTATCCAGTACAAAGCATCTCAAATGTCATCCATAGAGAAGGAAATGTCTCATGAGTGTAGAGAGTAAGTTATAGAAAAAGTTGCAGAAACTTTTTAACACCCTTTTCTACTACTGCTGTTTGTCCTTAAAAAGGCACTAGTGTAAATTCTGCAGAGACAAAGTTCTGCAAAACACCATGCAGAACTGCATAGCAGAGGTGATTTCTGTCGTTTAACTGACAGCTTTTCCAGGTACTGCGTGCAGGCATGTAAGAAGACATGAGCCTTGTGTCTAGTGAAAATCAGTAATACTTTAGCTTTACACTTGTAAGAGTAAGAGTGTGTAGTTCAGGTTTGTCTGGGTTATGCATTATCATGTTTTCCTGCATGAAACTCATGGTTTGAATAATTTAATGGATTTCTTCTTGCCTCTGTAGGCTGGTTGGACTCCCCTGCACATTGCTGCTTCAGCAGGCCGTGATGAAATTGTGAAAGCCCTCATTGCTAAGGGTGCTCATGTAAATGCTGTCAATCAGAATGGCTGCACCCCCCTGCATTATGCAGCCTCCAAAAATAAGCAGGAGGTATGTTTACCTAAGCTACTGGAGCTGGTGGTGTTCTTGGAAGAAGGATTTAGGTCTGTTAAGCCCACAACCTCCTCCCCTGCTCCTTTCTCTTTCAACATACTCAGATTGCAGTCATGCTTTTGGAGAATGGAGCAAATCCAGATGCAACAGATCATTTTGAATCCACCCCGTTACACAGAGCGGCAGCCAAAGGAAACCTAAAAATGGTCCAGATCCTTGTGCAGCACAATGCCACTCTGGATATACGGGACTCTGAAGGGAATACTCCTCTGTAAGTAGTTTTTTATTTTTATTTTGCTCAATATAGCATAATCTCTGTGAAATGCAACTCCATTACTTCAATGTCTTTTTATATTTTTTTTGTTGCTGCAAAATACACTCTTGCTTCGCATCCCTATGCAATTGAGGAGTATTTGAGAAAGTCATACTTAGTATTTTGCCATAGTGGTCAGTACATGCATACTTTGTGTTACTGCATCCACTTAAAGAGTGTAGAACACATTTTTTATTAATCTGGAATACATTTGTTGCTGCTACAGGGTAGAAAGTGAGCTAATGACATCAGAGCCAGAGGAAACTGCTCTTGCAGGCTGGTCTAATCTGTCCTGCCAAGCAAGAACTCATTTCAGAAGCTTTTCTTCACCTCTCTAAGGAAAATAAGTTGCAATTGAAGTACAATCAGCCCAGTGTTTATTGTTACCTTAGAGATCAATTTGAATCTGTAAGGGTTACAGATATTTTGAAGTTGGTGTCACAACCACAGTGGAATCCAGATTTTGCTGTGAATAAGATCAAGCAGTAAGTTTTAGCTGTACATAAACCCCAGTATGGCCCTGGAATGCACACAGTTCTTCCTAGGACACTGTGCCAAATGGAAAAAAGCATTTGCTGCATTTGCAGTAACTCATTATTTCGTAGCATCAGACAATTTATTTCTCACCTTCAATTTAATAGAGATTGCCATTTTCCATTCTCACCATGGATTATGTTCTCTTTAGCTTTGCTGACTGCATAGCCAAATCCTAACCCAAAGACCTGTCTTAACATTGCAAGGAGAGCAGCAGGAGGAATGTTCTTGAGTTGCTTAATGATGACAGAGGGACTGGACAGCAAGCTTTGGAATCTGTCTAGGTAGTTGGCTGCTTGTGGATTTGTTGTTCTCAGATGTATCTCCCCCCAACATTCACACTGTCATTTTGACATGGTGTAATTATTGCTCTTTAAAAGCTTGGACAGTTTAACGGTGCCTGTGGGTTTCTTGTTCTCCCTGCAGTCATTTAGCCTGCGATGAAGAGAGAGTGGAGGAGGCAAAGCTGCTGGTGTCTCATGGTGCAAGTATTCACATTGAGAATAAAGAAGAGCTGACCCCTCTGAAAGTGGCAAAGGGTGGCCTGGGAGCCATCCTTAAAAGAATGGTGGAAGGCTAGAGGGGGCTTCCCACTTGAGTCTCTCTCCTGTTGCACTTCTACTTAGGATTGCAAACTTCATATTTTGATAGCTCATCTAGGATATCATGTATGGTGTCAGCATGGTAATTAAATGTTGTTATTGAAAGCTGTCCTTCAAGTGCATTGCCAAAACAAGTCTTTGTACTTCCTGTTAATTAAATAGTTCACTGATTTTAAAGTATTTTTCAATATCTTGCAGTTTTCTTTCAGTTTACAGTGTGATGTGTATAAGTGTGGTATTCCTTCTACTTCAGATCTCAGTTTAGAATTATTTCTTTCAAGAAACAGGACCAAAAATGTTTTAACCATTTAAAGCCAATTTTTATTTTCTTATAGAGTCTTTGTTTTTTCTCTTAGCCATTGTGATTTTTGTGTGAGGTTTTGTCTGTGTTTTGTGGCTACCGATTGTCTTTCTCCAGATGATTCTAAGCTACACTGTGTTTCTCTTCGTAGAATGCAGTTTGCTTAGTTACTTAGATAATTGTATCCAGTTTGCTACTTGTGGTGTATTAAGTGAAATCTGAGTGTTTAAACCTGTTCTATTACTGGTTGTTATCCTGTTTTTCCCTGAGTCTTTAAATACATGTATTTGATGAAGTGCACTGGACTGCTTGCAGAATGCAGGCCCAGTTTCAAGGTTCTCTCTTCAAATACACTGTTTTATAGTGGATGGCTCTGAATACTCCTCTGGGATGTACTTCGACTTTAATATTTCCTTGTTCCTTTTGTAGGTTTCTTTTTCTGTTCTCTTTTACTCCCATATGCAGCACTGACAGTTGCAGATTACCATATTATTTTATAACAGAAGCCTGGTTTAAACTTTATTTACTCATAGGAAATCCTGCTATTAAGTTATTACAAGGCAGAGCTAACAAGATAGAGCCTGAAAAGTGTCCTCCTGTCATTATGTTGTTAAAATAATTTTTGGCATCAGTGGATAGATTTCCCCTTGAATAAAGAATGAAATTCTGTGAAATAAAAAACTTTCCTAAACAACAGTCTTTGGTATTATAAAACTTTATTAAACTTACATATAAGAAAACCAGTATTTTCTAAATAGCTTGTATGTTTGGGATGTGAACAATAAGATGAAACCCTGCCATCCGTTACACAGTATGGAAAAGCAACATATTTGATCTTTAGCCTCAAGGATGTGGTGAAATGCAAGCTGGTAGTTTCTACAGTTTGACTTGTAGGGATTAAGGTATTGCAATTTATTTTGGTAAGCAAGACAGAAACTTAGAACCAAACAAATACCTTCACCAAGCACTTTAAATGTATCTTGGAACACAAAATGCAGGTTAAATTTCACTGAGGGGCCTCATTAAGAACAGGAGGGATAACTTGCCTGTGCAGTAAACTCTGGCCATGCAGACCTTGATTGAAGGAGGAACCTGACTGAGTAAATGTTTCTTGTATATTGCACAGGCATGGCTGAAAATTGGATTGGAGAGCAGCTGAAGCTAAGAGTTCTGTGTTCATTCTTGATCTTTGTATGGCAAAAAAACCCTGCTCTGTAGCTTTGTAAATCTCCTTCCTTACGAGATGGTGGCTTGAATGTTGGCTTAATTTCTGGTGTCCATGTTAATGATCCCTAATCCCTATGGGAAGATAAATGGGCCATGCAGCACAGAGTGTTGGAACATCTAAAGCTAAGTCTGAAAAATGTTTATGCATCCTGCATAGCTCTGCATGGCTTTAGAGCTACACAGTGTGGATCAGTACCTTTGCGCTTTGCCAAGGGTATCAGTGGGAAGCTGGGAATGGTGCCCCATCCTTCTTAATAAATGATAGATAAACACCAAAATGAGAACAAACATCTGCCAGAAGGCTTACAGAAAGCACCGCACTATGGTAAGAAACTCCAAATACATGTTATTTTCCTTATCTCCTTACTCTCAGCAGCCTGTTTTGCTTCTTATTTTGCCTTTTTACTACCATCTATGTCTCACTTGTGGTTAGAAGTATGAGAAGAATCATTAGTCAAGAATATGGTCAGTTGTTCCTTTCTTTTATATAAAAACTTAAACATGAGCAATTTCTACTTTTTGAACAAATATAAAACCCGTGGTGTTCTAGGAAGACTGTACTATCTATAGAAGTTAGTAACAACTTCACCAGCATATGCTCCTATCTTACTGTAGCAAGTTAGGTAAGGAATACCAGCAGATAAATGTGGGAAGTGAGATGAAGGAAAAATTAAAAGAAATATGACCACGTAATAGACTCCCCTCTTCAATCACAATAGTGCTGTTGCAGAGATGTGGAAGTTGGAAAGTCGTAGCAATAAGAACAAAGTGACAAGTTCACATACATGCAGGAAATGGCATTAGAAGAACTAATGCAGCTATAGCAGTTACATGAAAACATTAATCTTTTCCTATGAAGGGCAAGAGTAAAAGAATGCTTAGGAATGTCAGATAAATTATTTAAAATTATTGCTGCTGTCAGCCAAGCCTTTGGACCAATAATTGATTTGAATTATATTGTCAGGAAACACCTTCAGAAAGAAATAGTACCCAGAGAGCAGCAGGTAGTACTGAGTGTTCCCTTGCTATTTCTGAGTGTGCTTAATGTCATCATCCTGCAGGTCTACACAGATTGGCTGTCAATATCAGATATTTTCAGTAAGCTGCTTAACGTGGATGGCAGGATGTGAGTTAGGAATTTGGCCTGGCACAGTCAGTAAGAGCTGCCTGAGTTAAGGAGACTTCTGTGTGGATCCCAGTTTGAGATTTACCCTGGATATTTTGGGGAGAGGAGTCTGAGGATCCATTGCTATAACATGGCAGTATTGGTATTAGCAAGGGTGTGACCCTCACAGACTGGCACAGTTTTTGGCTAAAACAGTATTAGAAGAATACCATTAATGCTCTTTTACTTTGGAATGAAGCTAAACATTTTGATGGGACACACCTATCAAGGAAAAATATTTGGAAGTCAGAAAACTGAGGAAAGTGCAATGAATATAGTTATACTTGAAGATCCAAAATAAATAATAATCCTTAAATATTGCCATATATTTTTCTTTGTTTTTTTAAACTCACTATTTTGATAAACATACTTAGAGCTGTAGAAGCTGAAGGTGAAAAATTTTGCGCAGAAATCTTAAAGATAAATGTTGCATATAACTAATGTTTATAGTCTAGGAACAGTCACTAAAGGATTTATGAATATTAGATCCTATGAAAGACTTAAGTGCCATAAGGCTTGAGATCCCTGAGCCAGATATGTTTTTCTGCAGTGCACGAGACTGAAACCAGTGTCTGCCTGTATCAGCAAGGGTGTGGGTCTGTATTTGCCTAAGCCCCATGGTCCTTGAGCTTTTCTGGAAGTATTATATTTGTCTTCATGAAAAACTGACTTTGTGTAACCTTAGAAATGAGGCCCAGGGAGAAGGGTTGTCTAGTGACCCAGGTGTGTATGGTTCAATTCCCTTTTCTTCTTCCAAGGGGTGCTCTCTGCTCTACTGCTGGCTGTCAGTTTGCTTTGCACCACTTACCTTCCCTCTTGATGCTTTCCTGTCTAGAAGATAGATTGTTACACTGGGATAAGAGACCAGAAGAAAAGTAGCATGAGTTTATTGCTTTGTGGGTAGGACAAGCCTGGAAAGAGATTTAAATCATCTCAAACAGAGGAAGGAATCAAAACTGATGTGCTGCATAGAAAGCAGTATCGCTGCTAAGTTTTGAAAGCAGCTATATCTGTGTGTCATGAGGAATGTGATGCTCTGCATACCTATTGGAACAAGCCTTGCAAAGGATTTAAATCTCCAGCTCCTGTTGTGTAAAAGAGTTATTTGTGTCTGAACTGGGTACGCAAATGCCAGTTCCATTAAACTGAAAACCAGAATTGCTGAAACAGACAACTCTGGAATGCTGGTGCCCTTGGGAGCTCTAAGCCAAGAAGGTCACGGTTAACAGAGTGTTTTCCATATCAGGGAGCAACAGGGTAAAATTTTCCAGGATTTTCTTTTTTAGCTTAGGTGGAATTCAGACACACAAGATTTCCTTGACTCAGGTCTTGACATCTGTTAAGATGTTAACAGATGTTTCAGCATTCTGATGGCATTAATGTAACTTCTTTTTACTTCTGACGTGCAAAATCAGTTCCTTGAAACGCTGCAATGTACTGGCCATGCTTACTCTTCTGGGTGCATAAAAAGCAGGTTGGCTAACACTGTTTCTGGACAAGGCTGCTGTGGTTCTGAACTAAGTGGACACAGCATTACTGGTAGTTGACTGGAAAGCTCTTATTTTGATAAATGCTTCAGCCCATTTCCTAATTAGTTTTGCAAAATAGGTTGATGTAGATTATCATCTCTTCTTATACTTACTTATACTCTTCTTAAATTTTTGTACAGTATAAAACTAGATAATAAAAGAAGTTTGGTTCACTTTAAAGGCCAAATCTTCTGCTCTTAACAAAGTGCCTGTGTAACAGACCCTTTTTGATTCACACCAGTGGGTGACAATAAAAATGCCTTGAATGCAAGTTTTAGTCATGCTTCTATGTTAATTCAATGACAACAATTTTTGTATAAAGGGGTCCAAAGGTGACAAAGAAAACTCTATTATAAATTCTAGGCTATTTCTTCTTTTTCTGCTTCTTGTTTCTCATCATTTTCAGGTGTTGCAGGAGCTGCTGTTTCATCAACATTTGGGTATTCATTTGTTGCATTGCTCGATGGAACTGTGGTCACAGGAATGTTTTCTTCATTGGGTACCTGAACATAGTCTGCATTGGATTGTTTCTGAACCATTTCTCTGCAGAAAGACAGGATTAGGATTGTGATCTCACATGCTGAAATCCCATGTACACTAGAGTATTTCAAAATAATGGATCTTTGTATTTGCTATCTGAACAGTAACCCCCATGTTACGATAATTGTTTCAAGATTGTGTGAAAAGGTTACAACACCATGGTACTGAGACAGAAAGAGTGACAGCTAGAAAGACATATGCATTGCTGGTTTAAACAATTCCATTAGAGTAAAATGGATTTTAGTATGTTTAAATGTTATGCCAAGAAAGTGGAAAGGGAAACTGAGTGCTGGCAGCATCTGAGGAGTGATAGCAAAACTTGCTGCTTCATGTGAGCTTTCTGGGAAATTCCATGTAGATCTGAATTACATGAAAAATAGATTTCAGTCAGAAAAGAATTATGAAAAGACTAAAATCTGGAAAGGTAATATAAAATATATTTAGTATTTTAGAAAATATGGAAATATAGGAAAATATTTTGTTAATAATTAATTTACTATTAATAATAATTAATTCATTTTATCTTATCAAAACGATAATAAACCAACTCCCACTACTGAGACACTTTCACATGGTAAAAAATATCAGATGCTAGTGGATTAATTCAATGCAGTCAGATTTATTAGGATCCAAGTACAAAACTAGGTGTTAATGCTACATCAGTTGAAAGCAGAAATCAGGTGCATGAGTGACTGATCACTGGTCTGGGTTAGCAGAATTCCATATTAGGAAGTCTTAAACCTGTGCTACAGGGAAGTCACAGGGTTTTTTTCTGACCTCAGCTATATGCAGTTATTTAGCATTTTACATCAATGGGCTGAATACAGTCTGTATAGTGCATGAGTTTATCCCTATTCTGAAGATTTGGCAATTTAAGGGAAAAATGGGCAACCAAAGCACAGAGAAGAAACCATCTCCAGGGCAGGATCAAAATGGACATTCTGGGCTCCATTCTGTTTTCTAAACCTTGTGTTTCCTGCAATCTGAGATGCCTGGGAGTTTCCCAAGTGTGTGTCCTGTAATTTCAGATAGCACTGACATGAGTCCTCTGTGTTTAAATATCAGTACACTTCCTGAGGTGACCCTTAGTTGCTCTTTCTTTTTTTACTTCCTCCACCTGCTTTTAACAGACCCCATTAACTTTAAATCTAAAGAGCTGTTTTTATAACTTGCCACTTTAGTTTGTATTGTTCAAAAACATTTACTTCACTGTTTCAGATACTGCCAAGTGGTAGCTGCCTGTTAAAATAGGGAAGAGGGCAATGGCACCTTCTGTTAAAAGAGCAACAGGTAAAAAGTCCCCCAAAAGCAGATGTTAACTCTGGAAGTTTCCTCAAAACTTGTGTTATGCATTTTGCTTTAGTTCTGGATTAGCAGCAGTGCTTTACAGAAATACTTGTCTTAAAATGAAGTAAACAGAAATTCTTACTGCATCTCATTATTTGGTGACTTCCTATTTTTTGCCTTCTTGGTTAAGACCCAGATGATAATGCAGATTATAGCAGCTGCCAGAATTGCCCCAATCAGTGCTCCAGCAACAATACCACCATCTGAATCTGCAAAGGAAAGAAAAAGATTTCTTGACTTTTAAAGAAGTAGTAATATAGCTAAATCCCATGGAAATTTAGTGCAGGAGCCTTTAGCAGAGAGAAGGGATTGGATTCAAAGAACTCTTTGCAGGAGGGTGGCAAAGAAGCTCCAGGAAAGTGAGAGCTCTGTGCTTAGGTGGTCTTTGCTGCCTCTTTCTCTCCCTATCCCAACAAACTGCCTGTTTATGCCAGGCTAAGGGAATCATTGGGCTGTAATACTGACAAGAGGGAAAAGCCTTTGCTTTTCAATCATTGCAAACACATCCTGAAATCCAGGTTGCCTTTAGTTTTGTTTTTCAGCTAGTGGTCACATCTACAGTGCCCCAGTCCTTGTACTACCACGTTTCACTGATGGTTGTAATTTCTGGGGAGGGGAGACCTCAGTGAGATTGTTGGTTGGAAGAAACTGTTCAGAACTCTTTGTCCGTCTGTTCTCAGTAAAGACTCTGCAGTCAGAACCAGATCCAGCTCCTGCCCTTTGCAGGAAATCAAGGTGGGGATGTTAAATCAGTTTTCTAGGTCATTTAAAGTCTAGGCAGGCTTGCATGAAAACTCCAGAACTCTCAAAATCCTGTTCTGTTCTTACTTGAAAAAAAAAAACCAAATCTAAGCTTTAAAATTGTTAAAGAATTTTCCTGCAAGCTGTGTATGTCCTCCATCGAAGATGTGATGGCATTAATGTATTTTACTTACATTTTGCTGTTAGGTCAAGCTCACAGGTGCTGTTCCCCAGGAGGTTGCTGGCTATGCACCGATAGTAGCCAGTTTCAAAGGTGGTGAGGTTGCCAATGTAAAGGATGCCAGAGTTTGGATCTGTGACAAGTGAGGAGCAGGTACACATTATTTGTATTCTGTAGAGGCAAACAGTTCTCTGTAGTGGCTAACACAGAGCTATTCAGATATTAGAAGAAGAGTTCACCAATTATTGATTTATTTGTGTGGGTTTTTTATATTCTTTAAAATAAAATATTTACCTTCCTTGAAAATTGCTCCAGTAAATTCTCTAGGTGTGTATTAGAAACCCCTACTCTGCCAACCAGTCTGGTTGATGTTTTACCCACAGTGATACTATGGTTGTCTGTGTGATTCCACAAATGAAAATGTAACAGGTCCAGAAAATTTCTGGGAGGGAAGGATGTGCTATTACTTTAATGACAAATTGATTCAACTTAAATTCACTCAAAATTTCAAGGGAAGAGAGGTGTAAAGACATAAATATTTCTCTCATTTTAACAATTTAAAGACATCGACAGGACTTCAACTTTTTTTTTTTTAATATATATTAACATCCTGTGGTTTTGACAGCTGTCAGTTGTTCTGAATAAGTAAAAATATGATTCTGTGACATTGACTATTGAAGGAGGAGGATTGATTTTAATTAGCCTATGTGATACACAGCATTTGAAATGCTGGAATTTCAGATCCTGAGCATGGAATGTTAGTCCTGTAGTTACATACCAAGTTGTTCTGTCACAGGCTTGAGGGTGTTCCCATCGACTTTGTACCAGCGGTAGGTGGGGCGAGGCAATCCCTCTTCACAGTTGCATAGGAGGTAGATCAGATGGCCTTTTTCAGGGGTTCCTTCTACTTTGCAGAAAGGTTTTGATGGTTTGACTGTAAAATAAGAACAGGCACAATCAGGAGTGCACACCTGGGCTGCAAACATCCACCTCAAGTTCTGGTACTGTGCTGCTCTGAGCAAAGACCTGAGTCCCATCTACAGGTTTCTATCTAAGAGCAGAGTCTCATTTATGGAACTGATCAAAGCCTCTCCAGTAAAAAACTGAGTAATAGTAAATATATGCACATGGCCTAGGATACAGTTTTATTATCTTCCATTTGCATATTAATTGTTAGGGAGGTGTTGAGACTACAACTATGAATTATTATTGTAATGGGCCACTCCCTATTCACCATACACCGTTCTGCCACATAGCAGCATCATTTTCTTTAGAGACATGGCAGGAGCTTTTCCACAGAGAGGGAGAGGATCAAGGCCCAATTCTTTCAGTATATTAACAGTTGTGAAGGAAATAAATCAAAACAGCTATAGTTCTGTTAAAAAAAGTATCTGTTTTTTATATAATGTCCTCATTTTGCAGAAAAGGGAAGATTCTGTCTTCACTTACACCACTGTTTTTCATTTCCTACCTCCAGATATGCTTTTGTGATTCTTTAGAGCCCTGTCAAGGGAAACCACCAGCAATGAACATAGCCTAAACCAACAACTTTTCCTGGTTTTCATGTAAAAAGTGAAATCTTTTACTCAACTGCTCCAAGATTTACTATTTATTTTGTGAATTTTAGATGATAATTATCAGTAGTACTTTGGTTTTTCAGGAAATCAGTTTACATATATCTTTTTCTTATCCCTAGAAGATAGGCAGGTGATGTTGGAATCACATTCCCATATGTCTGTGATTTGTCACTCTGATCAGGTATGAATTCTCATGATAAAAGGAATTATTATTATACAGAGTTAGTATAATCTTATTAAGAAATAAAATATCTCATTCCACTGCTTTTCATCCTTTCTGTTTTGTCTGTTCATGGCTGAACTATTGCTTTCTTCTACACAAAACAAACTTTGTACTACTTTCATCCAACAATACTAAGTTTCTAGAGGTTTTGGGAATTGATGCGAGTCAGAACTCTTGGGCTGTGCTGCTGCCTCTCCCTAGATTTATGCAAGTCACCATGATCAACATTAGGTAAAATTAGGGAAATTTTGGACTGTGCTGGGCTGCATGTAATAGTTTCAGTGAAAAGTTGTCGCTCCCAGCTAAAATGGTGTTTTATTTTAACCAAAACTAGTATCGCTTTTTTTTTCCAGTTTGAAAAATGGAGTGAGGTTGGGTAATTCCAGCCACCCTCATAGCTGCTTACATAAGGGAAGGTTTTGAGAGCACAAAGTGACTCTGAAGGGCAGTGGTGGGAGAGATTTGATGCAGCTCAGGCAGAGGCAGCTGTGGCGTGGAAGCAGGTCTGCTGTGCTGGAAGCTAGAGGGCAGCCAGGCTCTGCCTGCCTCCAGAGCCCTTGCAAGCACCGCAGCAGTGACTGACTCAGGGAGCTTCCTCTGCAGCCTGGTATTCCCTCTGGCCCTACACATGTTGAGCTGTGAATTCAGCGTTTCATAATATGGGATGAAAAAGACAATACAGCACTAGAGAGGGGAGGCACTTACCCAGCACATTGACAATCACAGATTTTTGACTCTGTCCAGCATCACCCTGGGGGCTGAAAACCTCACAAGTGTAGGAACCAGTGTCTGAGGGCTGCATGTTGGAGATTGTTATTGATGCATTCCCTGGACTTGTTGAAGCTGTTACCCTGTTCTTAAATGCTCCATAGGAGTAAGACTGGCCTCCTGAATAATAATAGATCTGTGATAAAGAAACAATTGTTAGTTTAATAACAAAAGATCTTCTCGCTGCTTTGTTTGGTACTCAGAATATCTGATTAAAACCAAGCAATGTCACTCCCTTTCTTGCCTCCTCTCCCAAGAAAGCAGAAATGAAAACATAGTACATTTGAATACCTACTTCTAAAGGTTCTTAAAAGACAAGATTTTCAGAAATTGTATTTTTAATTGTGTAATTGGCAGTAGCTAAGTCTTTGTGGATACCCTAAGCTCAGACTGATGCAATTGCAAAAACAAAAGCGAGACCACTGACCATCATGACAATTTTGTGAAAAAATGCTAAGTCGTGCACAGTGAATAATGATATTAAGTGAAGCACTGATCATTTGGGATAGCATTAATAAGCGGCTCAGTAGAAGATTGTGACAAGGATGGACCCGTCATTGGAAGAAGTGGGTGGCTGCAGAGCTTTCCAAATACAGAATCTGGCAAACAGAGGACTGAAACAAATTCACAAGACAAAGGTCTAAGCAAACAAGGCACCTGATCTGTTGGCAGTAAATTTGAAAGCCATGAGGATGCAGTACAACAACAGAGCAGAGTCATCACACATGCAATTAGAGCAGCCATGCTGTTGTTTGTGTCATCAGTTTTGGAGGCAGTGTCATGGACTGTCTTGGTTTTTTGAATTTGTATCAGGGAGGAAGTGAAAAATACCTGCTGGCCTCGCTGCTTGGGGGATTCCTATTTGGGATCAAGAAGTTCTCCTTTTACTAAATAGTAAAAAAATGATTTGCCAAATGATAGGCATAGTAAGGATGAAAGTTTTTAAGGAATGCAGCATTTCCTCCCAAATAAAAATTGCTGATTTATCATTGACTGATTTCATTGACTTCAGTAGTATCAATTGCTCTTAGCAGCATTGTGGAATAGAAGTGGCCTCATAAGCCCAAAATTGTTGTCTGCTGCTGGAAAGGAGAGGTAGAATTGTATTCACTGCAGAGCCTGGATGGCAGTCTGAGCCTTGAGCCCTGAGTCTGTTTAGGAGCTGCAGATTCTCATCTGCTCTGGGTAATATAGCAGTTCTCAAGGAATGCCTGCCCTCTGTCCACTCTAACTCTGCTCTGAAACCAAAATCTGAAAGAACAAAGATGTAGAAAACTATGATTCTTGAATTGTTTTTCTGAGGTGCTAATGACAGTGTTGTAGGAAAGTGACAGCATTTGGGTAGGCAATATGTTCCCCCAGCGTCTGCATACACACATTAGGCAAAGTGAGCAGTTCAGCACACTAGTCATTTCTCTAAACTGGTGAAAGGTGTCCATATAGAATTACAGGTTGTGACCCATGTAGATCTAACATTGTTCCTACTGGCAGTATTCCAGAATCATCAGCAAAGTTGAAGTAACAGCGTGTTTTTTAATGGAAATATTGGGAAAATGCTTGTAGGAAAGTTTCACAGACTCCTCTTCCCAGGCCATTCTCACTTGACTAGTATCAAAATTTCCTTTTGGTCAAAGTTCCCTGACTTTTAGGGATACAGCAGATCCCCAGGTGAGAAGTACAACTTGCTTTACTTTGCAGATCAACTGATTGCATTTTGAATTAAGAATATTAATTCTTAATTCTATTTATCCTCTCTGATATGGTGTTGACTGAAGTCTTTAAGGAATGTTATCTAAAAGCCTTTATTAGCTTAAAGCAAGGTACACTCCAAAACTGTCAGAACACAACTGGTTTATGCAAAGATATGGCTTTGAAATGAAGGTCAGAATCCAGCTTGCACAGCACCAGCAGCTCCAGGACTGCAGCTTGGCCCTATCTCAGGAGCAATTTTGCATACTCCTCAGCCAGACTTTATCTTTCCCTGCCCCAGGATTACAAACACCAGGTACAATTGATGCAGGGCTCTGAACACCAAAGCATTCCCAAGGTGTGGAACACTGCTGGTACAGTGGGGAAGCATAAGAGGTACCAGGGTCAGCTTGATGACAGACCTGGTTAGAAAGTCAGCTGAAGCTGGATACTCCTTCCAGTTTCCATTGTGTGCATACACTACCATCGGTTTTAAAAGTGATTTTATGCTTTGCAAATGTCTAGAGCTGGAACTCTATTGCCAAACCAGAGTCTGGATGGACACACTGTATTCCCTGAGGAAAGAAAGTGTTCAAAATAGGGAGTTTGGTTTAAAAAAATCACTCATCAAAAAAGTTGTCTACCTGTAATTACAAAAACACACTGGCCACATTAGTCTCATTCTACATTTATCTGAGTGTGAGCAGTAGCAGACTAATATTTGTCACTGTTTCTTGCAAGAGTTTGAAGTTACAAGAACAGTGATTTCTGACTTCAGCCTCTTCTGAGGTTGATGTCCCTGGATAGCTCTCAGTAGTGATGGCCTGGATTTCCATCTCCTCTCCATCAACTACACTGTTGGAGCAGGGCAGTGAAAGGGGTTCCATGAGCTCCTTACACTGAAGTTCTACAATGATTTAAATGAAGTTAAGTGTGTCTTGCTGCAGCAAGAGAAAAGTGGCAGGCTCATCATACCTTATTAAAGGCTTGGTTGTCGGAAAAAGGGGCTAAATTCTACTCAGTCTATGTGAGAGTAATTTGGGATTATGTGAGTAAAGAGTAGCAGAAGGGCTCCACTGAATGCTCATTTAGATACAGCCCATCTTCCTGGGAATAAGACTGGCACTGCACGTTGTAAATGTAGTCAGGACATGCCAGCAAACACTTTAGAGGAGCAAGTGCTCCTTGGTGTGTTTGATCTGGAGTCAGGGTGGATTACGTGCTCCAGTCCTCATACAATACACTGAAAAATGAATCCTATGTTCTCTCTTTCTGAGTCAGTGAATGTAGAGAAAATATTTTGTATACATTATTAAATCTGAGGCAGGTGCCAACACAGCAGAGACTCTTTCTTCTCTTCATAGAATCAGAGTCTTACTGGGTCATTTTTTGCCAGCCATGAATATAAAGGCAGTGAAACATTTACAGGCAATGTATTCAGTTCCTCTGCAGGCTCCTGCCTGCTCTCTGTTCTCTCCTGTTCCATGCTTATCTCCCTGGCTCTGGAGTTCATTGCCTGAAGGAAGGTGGTAAACACCAAAAAGGCTGACTAATGTTCTGATTAATTGCTGAGTGTATATCTTGTCCCAGAGGTATGATTGGATTGTGTACACAGGAAATTTCATTTAAGAGGAATATGTTTCAGTTAATTGGTTGTGAATTCATAGTCCATTTTAAACAATACATTCAAAATGGATATTTTAACCCCTGGTTCAAAGTGGGTTTATGCTGTCCTTGAAAAGCTGGTTTCTGGCTTTCAGAAAACTGATGCTTTGCAAAAGTGTTTGTTTCAATTCAAAAGTAAAAATATTGTTTCCTATTGAAGATATGGAAAACTTTTTGATTTTGGGCTACTGCCAGCTAATGTTTTCTCCTACGACACACATCATTGACTTTTCTTTGCATATTACCTAAAATGTGTGTATGGGAAAACTGTATATGTAGTCAATGGTAGACTTTTTCTGGAAACCTTTTTAATCTGGTGTGATAAATGTATTTAAAGTGCACCATCTTGAATGCAAAAAAATACAAAAGAAATCTGCTGTGCTCCCCTTCAGACAAAACCTTTTCATGTCCTCAAGCAAATCATGAGCAGCTCTAGTGAAGTTGATGATTTACCAGAGCAGAAACAAGATTGAGGGTGCATTAATGACTGTTACTCCTCCTTACCAGCTAGTTTGTTCAGGCAAGTCATTATATAATGGTGCCTTTTCACATTTCATGGAAGCAGCTCCCTGGGTGACTAATCAAACAACTGAGAGAAAAAGGAGTGGAGATTATCACTCCTAAAACTGTTTTCCCTAATAACTTCATAATCTGAGTCACTAGTTTCTGCTAAACAGCAAAGTTGCCCAAAGACATCTCTGACCTTAGAAAGGGCTGCAGTTTAGCTGGTTGTGGGCCAGGCAGTGCCTAGAGCTGCTGTCTCCAGCCATCCTTCCAGGCCTGAGGCTGTGCTGTGCTTACCCTTCATGTCCACAGGCAGTGTCTCCTGTGATGGTGGAGAATGAACTTGCCTGCAGAGGAAGCAGTCAGCAGAGCTGAGGCTGAGCTGAGGACTTCAAAGGCTGCCAGATGTTCAGCAATGTGAGGAACCCACCTTGAGGTTTTTGTTGTACAACTTCTGTAGAAAGATCTTCCTTAGGGTGTGAAGGGTATGTGTGAATAAGCAGGGAGGAAATGAGAAGAATCATGCCTCCCTCTGCTTCTCTTCTTCTTTTGACAGGACAAATATATACTAGAATTTGCGTAAATATGTGTCTTTCAGATGGCTTTGGATGGACTCCTTCATAATTTCCACGTCAATACTCCTCCCATCCGCATCTCCTGGAGTCACTGCACCACAATGCTGTACATGCCCAGTACTTGTGGATATCAAAGTTATGAGATGCACTTGAAGAGGCATCACAAAGTGTCCTGCTTCATCTCCACAGAATCTCGACGTCCTGACTGGAGGACAGTTTCAGGACATGACCTCTTTTCCAATACCTGTCTTTCCTCCCCCAGCCTCTTCTCCCTTTCCCCCACCAGCACATGTAAAGCTCCAGGATCCTGTTGGATGACGTTTTTCTGATGGATTCAGTGTGTGACTCACAGTCTTTGCCTGGAGAGCTGGAAAGCTCCAGCATCCTGAGGGCCTTGTCACTGGTTGTCATTTTCTGTTTGACATTTCTCAAGCTACTAGAAAATGGAGGATATTAATGACTTTACTGGTTTGAGATTGTGATCTCTTTTTGAATTCTGAGGACACACAGAATTTGTAAAATAACAAGGGGAAAAAATGTTCATCACTTCCTTAAGCATCTTACCATTTAATGAGAGAACAAATGCCACACAATCAGAGTGTTAATGAAGGCCCAAAGCTCAGATTCTGAACTAAGAAAGCAAATGTTCACACATGTGTTGGTTTCTTTGTCACATGACTGAGTCTGGGCCCAAATCCCTTATTTCATCCACAGCTTCTTTTCACACATTTTTGTCAAAACTCTGATCTGCCAGAAGGTAGCAGGAATATTATAGGGATATCCCTTACTGGGCTTTTTGCACTGGGAATTGAAGATATGAACAATGACAAGAAGTGTCTTGTCACAATAGTGCATTGGTAGAAGAAGAAAGGGAGGGAGTCAGAAGCCTTTAGAGGATTAATCATTCAGCAGCTTTAACTGATGCAAATATACTGAAGGAGCAGTTCTTTCATGTTCTCACAGTATCATTCCTGTGGCTGAACTATTAGTGAACAATTCCCATCAAGAACAAATGTGTTTTCCTAGTGCATTTGGTGTAACTGCTCTTCAGCAGTTATTATTAGATGTCAGTTTACATTGGCTGTACCCTGTACCTCCTGGTGAGTTAGGAACCCTGCTGCAGTCAGAGAGTTTGGGGTGGATTATGGCTGGAACGCTGAGCTGACAGCTGAGAGGAAGCTGGTTCAGCTCAGTGTCCTCAGTATCCATCACATCTCATAATAGTTTTATATTCTAGAAAGGAGATCCAGGATGATTTTTTTTTTTCTATGTAAATATGTAGCCCCAAGTTTGGGCTGTCCAGTCTTGCTCACATTCAGCCCAGAGGCTCCTTGTGGGTGCACACACCCTTCAGATACCCTTTGGGTAGAATATTCCTGAAGGTGCAAGTTCAGCCACCTAGAATTTCCCAACACAACAGCTACATCCCAAAATAATTTGACATAGAAAAATGCAATAAAAAATAGGGTGAGTTAAAAATTCTGGATAATGCATCAGATTTAACTTATTTCAGTCATGTGCTGGTTTTGAGATTTCAATACAGAATATGAAAACAGGTTTCACAGTAGCATAAATGTAGTAGAAGCTATTTAGCTCTGTTTCCCCCTTAAGATTATGGGGGTTGTTTTCTTACCTTGTATCTCCAGCTACATCTTCCCCGTGCATCTGTCACATACACCGTCTTTTGACAAAGACTGACTGACTTTTCATCCATACTCAGAATACCATGGCACGGGTAATGCTGTATTTGAGCAAAAATGTGCTGATCTGAGAGTTAAATGAGACTTTCAATGTTCCCCCAAAATTAAAGAGCCATTTCTCCACACAGCTCCCCACCTACCATCCATGCTGATCACGAGGGCAGAGTGCCTCATGTTCAGTGTTTTGTGCAGAAAGTATCTCAGGCCTTGTCAACCAGAGGATGAAACAAGCTTATTCCTAAGTGCTACCTAAAATTAGGCAAACTAAGATTAAAATCTAATGTCTGCTCCAAACACCCCAGTTGCAACCTGATTATTTTCTTCTTGTCTGCACTTCCCTTTGTGATAACCACAGGCAGTCCCCCATAGTCCCACTGACATCCAGAGTCACTCCAACAGCAGTGGCATGACAACAGCAGCTCCATTCCTCTGCTTCCCATGAAGCTGATCCTTACAGTGCCTGCTCTGTCATCTAAATTACTAGATTTTAGGACATAACATATAAAAAACAGAGGCCATAGGTAGCCCTTTACTTTACACTGCCACTTACAGTACAGGTTTTGCAGTGTTTTGAGATCCATAAGCTGAGGTGCAGTCCTGGCTGGAATGAAATCAATCATCTAAGTGCTAGATAAAACTCAGTTTTAAAAAAACAGCTCTAGGCAAAAAGAAATGCTTATGGATGAGAGAGGCCCTTTTCAAGAAGGTTTCCTGTACTGCCTCAGGAGGTGCTTCACACAGGCTCATCTTTCTCATGGGCTGGAATGGGCTGCTCTGCTCCCAGGCTGGTGTCCCCTGCAGCACTGACAGCCTCTGCAGCACAGGATCTCGGGTGTCTTATGGCTGAAAGTGTGTGAAGGTGTTCCCTGAACTGCTCAGACTACATGGAGGGGAATTTGTTCTTTCAGAAGCTAATATGGAATCTCCACACATACAGGGCTGGCTGGCCTCTGGCTCTCACCTGGGGTTGTGTTTGTGAGCAGATTTCTCTCTCAGGATTTTTCATAGAGGTGCACAGAGAGACAGAAAGAGAAAACAATTTCTATTTCTGCTCTTTGTTTTTCTCATGTGGATTGTGTTTGGAGAATTGTTTACCTGGAGTGAGTGCTTGATTGGATTCTGGTGAGGATTGTTTGAGCCTGTGGCCAATCCAACCCACCTGGGTCTGAACTCTCAAGAGGGTCATGAGTTGTGTTAGAGTTAGAACAAGTAGGTTTGTAGTTTTTGGTATCTTCCTTTACATAGTATATGAATGTATTTTAGCATAATTATAATAAAGAAATAATTCAGCCTTCTGAATTGAGTCAGATATCCTCATCTCTTCCCATCGGGTTTGCTTGCATTTACAACATGGGGTAGCCCAGTGGCCATGGCTGTGCCTTGCTTTGTGTTGGGACTACTGACAATCTGAATTTGGGGTGTCAGGGTGGAAGGAGTTGACACAGCTGTGCTCAGGTCACTCTGCTTGCCTCTTTCTCTCCTTGTCCCCTGACCAATGTGCCACGAGCTTGCTTTTTTTGGAGAAGATTTTCATAAGAAGTCTATCAATAATTCTGTTTTGCCTAAAAGTAACAGGCCTCCATGACCTTTACTCATATAATGAATTCAAAATTTCAATCAAGAATGCTGCCCTGGGCACATCTTGGTTAGCCAGGTAGTGTCCCTGATCATTTCATTGACTTTATCTGTGGGTGGCCTGGGCTGGAGGCTCCAGGTGTGGCTCAGGTTAGGTTCAGGAGTTGTATTTAGCTTTGCAAGGCTGCAGCCTAGCCTTGTGAAGAGTCAACAGAGGCTTCAGCTCTCAAACATTTACTTAGGTGCTTTGCACTGGGGCCAGCTGAGTGACTCAGAGCACGAAATGAAGCACAGATGTAGGTCTTAGCAGGAGCTGAGACTTCACCTGATGAACCAGGCCAGGCTGTGGTGTACCCTGGGTGAGCAGAGTAGTGTTAGCCTCAGTTTGTCGAGATGTAAAATAGACATCACTCAGTTGTGGAAAGTTCTCAAGATCCTTGCCTGGGAGTTTTTATTTAAAACTAAAATTCAGCATTAAAGGGCACATTGCTAAGGGCTAAATGGCAAAAATAAAAAGTTAAAAATATGTATGACATCCTATTTTCCATTATTTTATACTTATATTATTAAGTTCAAGTGAGGGAAATTACTTCTACTAGAGAAACTTCTCAGGAAAAGAGCAGAGTTAGGCTCAATTAGAAAAAAAAGTTTATATTCACCCACTAAAAGCTGTGCTGTCTTCAAAAGAGTGCTGTGAACACCTGGCTCTGTTTGCTTGCTCCCTTTTCACTGTGAGCAGCCTGGCTGTGGTGTCTCCTCCTTGCCCAGGGTGTAAGTGCCATGGTCGGGGCTGTGGCAGCCCCAGGGAGGGTGGCCAAGGCAGGACAGGGCAGGAAAACACCACAACAAGCAGAAAAAATGAAAACCAACCTCACAAGACTGTGCTGGGAGGCAGATCTGCATCAGTAGCAGGCTGCAAAGTAATGAAAGAACAGCCTGCCTTTGGGGCAAGGTAAAATCTGCTGCTGAATACTCACAATACATTAAATTTACACTGGAACTAGTCCTGATCCTGGCCTTACTGATTTCACTCCAGCCAGGACTGTACCTGAGCTTATGGATCTCAAAACACTGCAAAATCTGTACTGTAAGTGGCAGTGTAAAGTAAAGGGTTACCCTGGCCTCTGCTTTTTATATATTATGTCCTAAAATCTAGTAATTTAACCTTCCCATTCCTTAATGCTTAAAGCCAAAAGCTTCTTAATGGTATAAATTTGTCTTAATTATATATAATATTTATAAATGTATATAATGTTTATAGCTTGTTCTGTTACTTGTTGCCATTGTGGAGAGAAAGGGCCATGTTATCAATTGTTTAAATAAACAATATTTATTAAAATCAATATTTTTTTCCACACATATTTGTTATAGAGAATATCTCCTCTGCTTAATCTTATTATTTTGAGTATAGTGCCCATGTGAATAACATGGTCATTGAGACATCTAGCATTCAGTAAGATGTCAGTATTATTTTAAAATTTATTAAGTTGTCAGGATGACTTTAAAATTTAGTAGATAGAAGAATATATATTTTATGTAATTTTTTACAAAACTTCTAAGTCTCCTGTCTTCAAAATATTTGGCCGAATTTTCTAATATTTAAATATGGAATTTGAAAATGCTATCCAATTAGTTGCTGAAAAAATGGCAAATTTTTAGTAGAGCCAGAATTTTCAACAAAATTTTCAGGGCAAATATATGCTATTTGTAAGGAAGTGTTTGGTAATTTGTTATGGATCTGTTAGAAGAATCTAAGTATCTCATAAAATTAAATAATTTTATTCCAGTTAAAATTCAAGCTATTGTTCTGGTATTCAGTAAGATATGGTGCCAGTCTTTCCAATATAGTTGGGTTTGTCATCTTACCAGCATATTAAATATATTTTTGAATTCATATTAGTATTGTTTTACCTAAACAATGAATGCCAAAGCTGGCAACCTCCTCCGTTTTCATGCATTTGTTCCCTACTTGGAACAAAATGTGAAACTTAATTCAGCAATGTGCCAAGCCACCAGGGCAGAGCCAGGTTTGTAGAGAGATTATCTTTTTGTTTAAACTTGTGGGAGAAAAACATGTGGGCTTTCAGGCTCCCAATCCTTTCTGAAATGCAGAAGAGTCATCAGCAATAGAAATACCAGCCTCATTCAGAGGGAGGGTGAAAATCCAACTTTATGTTCAGCTGTGTTGTGTGATTTCTTAAATCATATTTTCCACATGCAATCACAAGCCTTTCTTCCCAGTGTTTGCATTAACACCATTGATTTTATTGTGAATAGGTTCAAAACAGTAAGGAATTGCCAGGTGGTGGTAAAAGGGTACAGGGTCAAGTAATACGAGACTGAATTAAAACATTGCTGGAAGCATTTTAAAAAGAGCAGTGCCCCAGTCCTGCACCCTCCAGGGACAGCAGCAGGTTCCAGGGAGCAAAGGGAACCCTCTGAGCCCCCCAGCCCAGGAGAACTGGAGCTGCAGGGAGAGGAGATCCTGCCTTGGTGTTCAAGGAGAAGGGGATTAGCACTAACCATGGCCTTTCCAGACTGAACTGACTTTATGTAATGAAAATGCAAATCACCCATCACAAATGCAGCCATTGCAAATGTGTGAATTTGCTGTGAAATTACTTTCAGAAGGGGGAATCCAGCTGCAATTTTCCCCAGCAGTGTTTCTCATGGACTTTATAGGCACAGCTTTCCCTGTGCTTGTGGTGAGAGCTGCAGAAGCCAGGAGGGAGCACTGGAGGGATTGAGCCATTACGTTTCCCTGACATCTGGTAGTTTTGCATGGGTTAGGTCTTGTTGAGTGTATTCTGAACTACCCACAGTATTTTATTATTGTAATTTTCAGGGGATATTTTTCTTATAATTAGCCACAGTTTACAAATGGTTTTCCCCTCCTGTATCTCTTGAAACTGTGTGATTCTCCCTCTAAAATAGTTATAACTGCAATCTAGTTATTTCTCTTGATTGTGACCAGAAAAATGTATGGCATTTAATGTGTTACAATATGGAAAATCTGATGCAAGTAGAACAGAAAGACTCTAACCAAACATAGAGAAGATGAGCTTCATCCTGTTAGTGCTGTACTTCCCATCTGAACAAGCAATTATAATTTAAGATGTAACATACTGGATCAAAATTATAATATATTGTACTAGATACAACTTAGGAAACCTGTAGCTACCACCCTTTCAGGAATAATTCTTCATTTAATAAATGAGTTTTAACTTGAGGAAAGCAAACAATGAGTAACAACTAGTCAACTACATGATCAGGCGAGGTGTGCCTACATCAGTCTGGCATTCAGCTGGAGTCAGAATTTGGGATGGGCCCAGAGTTTGTACTTGGCATTGGTACAGGCTTTATCTGTGGCTGTGATATACTGCAGGTGAGTTAGCAGTTCTGTCTTAGGTTAAATTGCCATTTCTTACATTTTGGCCACTGCTGTTCAATGCCAAATAATTTACAACCTGCACATGCTGCAAATTACAGGTTAATTCTGCTGTAATTTATAGACCAAATGGAAGGTGCACCTGTATCAGCAATGGCAAGCCTCCTACTGAAATATTATTAGGAAATAATAATGAACAGGACAAAAATATCCTGATTGTGGATTGTGACACTCCTCCAAGTCAAATCTCTACATCAACTCTCAGCTGGAACACCAGGCAGGAGGGTTGAACTTCCAGACAAGAAATGTTGGCAAAAGGATAAAAACAACGGGAAATTATTGTCCCACAAGCACAAGCCTGACACCAGGACACAGAAAAGGAATCTCAGTCATCTTTAAGGATTCAGCAACACTTCTAATTAGGATTTCTTTTTATAAAGGAATGTGTTACTGACAGCTCACCACCTGCCAGGACCAAGCTGATGGGAGCTATGTGTTATGCTGGGAATGAAATTCATGGATTCATTTCCCCACCAAAACATGAAACTAAGAGTTCTTGAAGTTTGGGCAGTAGTGTGAGTACATATAGATAGATATACACCCCATCTCTGACCCCTTGCAGGCAGACCAGGCTGCTCTGCAAGGTCTTTACAGCCACATGAGAGGCTCAGGCTTAGACCAAGTCTGGTATTGGTGTCCTTCCCAATCCCATCCATGCTGACACTCCAGTCTACAACACAGTCTCATTTCCCCCAGAGTAGGAGATTGTTTGGCTCTGAAGCCTTTTGGGGTCTTGGGAAGGGCAGGGACCATTTGTTCTTGACCTGTAATTGTTCTGTTTCCACGGTGACAGCCATAGGATGCCGGGAAATATCAATGCAAGTTTGCTGTGGCAAATTTCCTGCTATGACAACTTTCTGCAGAGTGCTGCCAATGCTTGCTGCTCACTTTGTGCTCAGAGTCCACTGATAGGCACAGCACCTTTTACTGAGCTGCCAAAAGGCAACTGCAGTGCCTGAGTCAAGGAGCTCTCATTTGACCCTTAAATGGGGAACAACACATTGTCATAAGCAAGGGCGTCTCACCAGGAAAGCAGCTTTCACAATGGCAGGAAATATCTGCCAGACAAGAGAAAAGGGAGCTGGTCCAGGAGCTGCAGCCCTTGTGTGATTTTTAGACACCTGGTCTTTGCTTCACACTTCCTGTGTGACAGAGCAAGTTGTTTGAGCACATGAATCACTTTTGTACTTTCTCATCAGTTTGTGAACACATTCAGGCATGTCAGTGGGAATTAGGAGCCTAGATAATTTGTTCATCTGCCCCTAAATGTCACCACACCCCAGTCCTTAATCTCTAGGGTAGGAACCCCAACATTTCCTGGTCTGTAGTAAGGATAACCCCATGAAACATAGCAAGACTCTTTGAGGACTTAAAGATATCTCAAATACAATTTCCAAGTAATAATAAATAAATGTCTTACGGTATGCAGCTGGCTCTCTTTGGCACTGTAAAAACTCCACTGAATAAAGAAATTTTCCAGGGGCCCATTACTGGTGTATGTGCAGAGGAGGGTTGCATTTGCACCTGTGGTGACATTCACTGTCTTCTCAGGGACGGTCACCACGACCCCGCTGGTGTGGCCTGTGGGCAGCAAATGTGGAGAGGAGAGGAGAGATCAGCTGGGGCTGGCCCTGGGAGCCCTGCAGGAATTAACTCACTGGGTTATTGAAGAAACTGTAGGACGTGTCTGGCTGTTCTCCTTTTCAGTACAGATTCCCTTTGGCTTTGTGTGGAAATTTCAGAGATAACAAGCTGGAACTGGGTAAAAGCTAGCAAGCAAATAAATCCCCCAGAATACTGGTGCCCTTACAACAAATAATATTCTTAAAAAGCAGAGTTCCTAAACCCATACTTGTTCTTATTGGCTGATACTCATCTTCTCACTAAGAGTCTGTGGTAAAACTCAACCTTTCTTCTGCACTCACAGTGCTCTCCTGTGCTTGCACTCTCAGTCACAGCTATGTCTACTCCTCTCTTACATCTTTCTTGTCCTTTTTGGTTTTGTGTTTTGTTTTTTTTGTTGTGTTTTTTTTTTTTGTTTTTTTTTTTTTTTTTTTTTTTTTTTTTTTTTTTTTTTTTTTTTTTTTTTTTTTTTTTTTTTTTTTTTGGCAAATTAAGAAAATTGGTACAAATTCGCTTTGTTTGGGGTTAGTCGGCATTTTTCAGGGTTTTGTTTTTTTTTTTCTCCAATGCCATTACATTGGAAAAATCAAACAAAACTCTTTGGAAGTGCTTTCACTGTGTGGGTTGCAGGGAGCTCTTTGGTATCTCCAGCAGCCCTTTCTGTTGTGCTCAGAGCAGAAAGGGAGCAAACACAACATGTGAGCCCTTCCCAAGACTCTGATCAGTCTTGACTACACAATCACAGTAATTAAAGGAATCAAGCACCACCTTACAGTATTTATCTGCTTCTATCTTCTGCGAATTAGCCATGATGACACATTACAGCAAAGATAGAGCTGTCAGAAAAATAGGTCTGAATTTCAGGGTTTTGGTAGGTCACTGAATCCAGTTTGGAAGTTAATGTCTAACGATTCTGACTGAGAATGTTTTTCTTTTGAATGGGATGGAAAACATTAAACATTTTGGAGCTTTCTCTGCAAAATAGGCAAGGTAAGAATTTAATGTTATAATCATTTTCATATGGGTTTACTGCATATATTAATGATTGAGACGAAGATGTAAAGTATTTTTCTCAATGCAGGATCTATGCATCTTATGTTGGTGTGCTGCTTTTGAGAGTTAAGCAGAATCTGCAGTAATACTAAAGAGCATTTTGCTGAAATTAACAGCTCTGTGTGAGAAAACATTGTTTATAGAAAGAAACTATCTATTTTGTCTTTTTAAACTATGTAAATACTGTAAATTCATGAGTTAATACAGTATGCCAACCTTTCTGAACTGTTTTCCTTGTTTGATGGCTTTAACAGTAAAATCTCACTGCAAGGAGGAAAGGAATAATATATTTCCATATTGATGGTAGCTAGGATGAAAATTAATGGGTTTAAACTACAAGAAGTTTTATATTATATGTGAAGACATACAATATAGTGTCACAGGAATGGCTGGAGACTGACCTAAATGTGTCAAACCTGCCTTGGGGAAAGAGGGGATCCCAGGAATTGCTGCCTGTTCTGCTTGTCTTGTGAGTTCACAGCAGCTTAGTCCTTACTGAGATCTGATAGAAAAGCTGTGCCATATTCTTTTAGGTATCTCAGTTCACTGTTCTCAGCTTTAAGAATTAGTGTTGGCCAGAGGATGATTATTTCCTGGCACAGTTGATGTGTATTTATTTTCTGCTCTTTGCAGGATTAAAGGTACTCTCTTTCAACACAATGTTATTCTGCTGAAAACATCCATTTTCCAGTCATCTGCTCTGCATATTTACTTTATCATTCTCTGGTTTTAGAGTCAGGAGTGCCACAGAGTTTGACTGTTAAAAGCCTTTCCAGAAGAAATTAATTTTAGCAAAAAATACTCCACAAAGCATTCTATTTTCCATAAAACTATATTTTGAAGAAATACATTTAATTGAAATAATCCTTACTCAAGTAAAAAGGCTGTTTAAACCAATGCTAATTGCAACATGGATCTTTTGACTGAGAGTAGAGTGAACTGGCCCTACAGAGCCTGTTTCCTCACCATGAATGTTAATGGCAGTTTCACTTTTCATTTATGGCTTCCAACCCCTAATCCCCTTTCCTACATACAGGCCTTTTGGTTTAAATTTTTGAAAGTGCACAAATAAGAAATAACACAGTGAAAACAGCTTGTGTGAACAGGACCATAACTTGTTAAAAATGGCTGATCCACTTCTTTACTCATCAATATCATAGTGAGGCTGTTTCCTTCCCACAGAGAAAGTCATTGCAGTGAATGAGGAATCTGCCAATCTCACTGAAGTCCTTTGCAGTTTTTAACACTCATTAAATAAATCCAAGTTTGCTGATCTTTTCTGAGCCACAACAGAAACCCCCAGTCAGTAGTGCCCTCCAACATGGGCACATTGCTAGTCTTAAATCCAGAACTTTCGAATTAGATGATATTGCTTTGAAAAGTATATATGGTACCACTTCTGAACTACTTTTCATATCTAAGGTAAAAATCTGTTGAGGGTATATGTGTGTGAGAGTTAGAACACTGAAGCTCCAGGAGAAGTTACTTAAAATATTTCTATAGCACCCAAATCAGATCATTCCATCTGGAAAAGATGTGGAAACAAGCTTTCATTTTCTGTAGTGGATACAGGGGCTGTTTATCTCCATGAAGCATTAAAATGATTGCTTCCGTATACATTAAAAGTAAAGCTTAGCACAATGAAATGCCCTTGAAATATGAATAATACATAGTTTTTACTATACCGTAAAATTCCTGGATTCACAAAATATTATGTCCTCAATTAAAATATTCTTTGCATGCTTAAAGTTAAGCATATATTTTGGTGGTAAGCAAAATTTTTTGGAGGTTGAGGGACTGAGGCATCATTTTCCAGCCCTATTATCAAGGGGAGACAAAGGCAAATATGGAAAAACCTGACCTTGAAACACTTGAAAGACCTGAACACTCCATACTTCTGTGCATGGCAGGAAGAGGTTCTTTGCCTCTTCCTGACATCAGAGCAAAGCATTAACCTACCAAAGCCAAAATTCTGTTTTTGAGCAAAAAGCTCAAAACCAGGCTGGGGTCAGTTTGTGGATTTCCAGAGGATGGTCTGGCAGTATAGCCATAATTTTTATCCCATCCTGAAATAGTTAATCTCAAAAGTTCTCCTGGTTTGCTAGTCAGGTTCACCTGCTCTCTTACTTCCACAGGCTCCTTTCTTCCAGTGCTATTTTGATCAGTTTTTTATTCTTACCTGCAAGGATGGCTAGAATTGGAAATATCCTCAGCATTGTTGCACACACCTCCTTGATGCTGGGAGAGAAAAGAGACCAGATGCCGCTTCTGGCTTCGACTGAAACTGAGCTGGTTTATTTTTTGAAGTCGGTTTTTTGTTTTCCTTATCAGCTGTGTATCAACACGTCAGTGAGCTGTTTCATTCTCCTTTATCTCGTGTGTGCCTTTCTCCGGCTAGTGGTGTGACTGTTCACTTCAAACCTTTCTGTGGGGTCTGAGCAACCAAGGGTTTTGTTAATAATAAACCTTTGAATCAGAGAAGCCCAAATTCTCCCACTTTTGCCAGGCCCTGCAGTATTTGCCTATCTAAGTACTTCCACTGAGTACAAGAAAAGTATTTGTGGAGCTATTTAGCAGTCAACCTGATTACTAGTGTTGGGGTCAGGCCTAATATGAATAATCTTTATTTCCTGTTAATTCTGTAATTTCCTTTTAGAAATGGGCATGTGTAGATAATGCATTGTCAGTATATTTTCAATTCAAAACATGTATCTTATACATTTTGTTCAGCTTCCTGCAGGAGCCAGATTTGTTTTTTGTGCTCCATGTTGTTTGACTGAGGCTGATTCAGAGCCCTGAGCTGCAATGGGAGTGGCTGGCTCTGGTACACAGCCAGGGGAATGAGTGCCTGAAGACAGAGCAGAGGGCAGCATTGCCTTGTTGTACATGTGTTCCTGCACCTGGGACACAGGTAACATGGCCAGGGAATTTTTCTGTGCTTGTTGAAAACATGGGACTAATTCATGCCTGATGCTCCCATGGGAAGCCCTTTTGGAAGGTGGGGTTCAGTATCTGGCCATGGGAGGCTGGAGGAGAAAGGTATGGCCAGGCTCTCCCTCATCTCTCATGTGATATGGTAGCAGATTCTCCAGCAAAGAAGTCGGGTTGCTGGTTGCATCAGTTACTACTGGGATCAGGTTTATTTTATTCTGCCAGATATTTCTGGGCATGGCAGATGCCTGAATAATCTCTGGGCAGATGGCAGGGTTTGGTGATATTTTTATATGAGCTATCTCCAAAAGTTTTGGAGATGTCTTCGCCTTGGTTCTGACTGTCAGCACTTCACTCAGCATTCCCACAGAGTGGGCAGTGCCTGTCTCTAAAATATAGAAAGGGCAAGTCTTGGAACTGTTAAATGTCTTGTCCAAGAATCACAGGGGACCCAGAGTCCGAAAAGGAATATATACATTGAAAGACTGAAATTAAAATTCAGATTTCTTCCAAAAGTTGAAAATAATTTAGATTCACCTTCACTGAGGAAGAGTGGAAGGATCACAAGCACTCATGGGAAGTTCTCACTGGCTTTCCCCAAAGCCTAAAATGGGAGCTGCTGCTGATTTCTAGTAATTTAACCATAGATGACTGCAAATGATCTGAACATGAGACAACCTACAGACATTTCAGTGATTGCCTGTGGCAGCTCCATAATACCCAGGAGTCTGACTGGTGGCTCACAGAGCCCTGATCCTTTGCATAAGACAGCAATTTTCAAGAAGATGCAAAAAACCACTGCCACTCTGCTGAGTAAGTCAGCACCTGCATGATCCTGTGTTTCTACCACATTATCTGTGTGTCCTCTAATTCCCTCTCATCTATTAACACCAAAGTCCTTTCCCTAGCATTTAAAGCTCCCTCAGCTAATATGTATTTTTGCTTTGTTACATTCACTTTTTGCCAATTAAAAAAAATGACAGAACTACATTCCTGGAGGGTGAAATGCTCAGTTTGACCAGAGAACAGGAGCCAAGAACACAAATTCTGCATCAACATGTTGCCCTTTAATCTTGAGATGATGGGCTGAGATTACCAGTTACAGAGTGTGGGTATAGCTCATAGCAAAAGATTACAGCCATTACCCTGTTTTTCAGAGGATTCTGAACAGCAGGAGTGTTTATGTTTGACTATTCCCCACCTGGGGCTCATTCCACCCAAACCAGAGGTTCCCCAGCACTATTCCTGCAGGGCCTCCAGGGTCACTCTCCTGGGAAGGTAATAGATGGCACCTGTCAGCTGCTGGCTTTGCTTCTAGCCTATTGCTCCTGGAGAACAGCACTGCCTGTTCAGGGGAGCTGAACACAGAAAACAAAATCTGCTTTGGTTGGTGTTTTAAATTACAATGGGAAAAAGAACCTCTTACAGTGCTCAGCTAAGAGGAGAGAACAGTCCAGAGTACAGCAGTCACTTTGGGTGGAGAAAAGACTCCTATCTTGAGATAAAATGGAAGGGGCCACTACCAGGAGCTGTGTGTTAAGACTTTGTGAGTCAAGCCTGTGTACACTGAAATGTATTCAGAAATGTTCCCTTCCAAGCAGCTCCCATGTATTCACTCTCTAAACAGAAGTGTCAGTCATTAAAAAATGAAGCTCAGAGGCAAACCCCAAGCAAGGCAGCATTATCCAAACAAAGCACTGCCAGGATATTTAGGAGTTGCTTCTGTTGGCCTGAAATCTAATTAAAAAACTTCCTGTTGAATTCCATGTTTTGCTTGACAAAGCTCAGCAATGTTCCAACTGCTGTCTTCTGAAATAAGCTAAATC